TATTAAATGACCAATAAAAAGGAGTACGTGCTGCATTGCACCAAGTCAAAAGTAAAGATTTAGCGCCCGATAAATCAAGAAACAGATGCATAAGCATATGCATAATTCTAAAATGTGAAGGAGATTACCAGAAGTTCAAAAAAAGAGAAATGATTTTAGAAAAAGCTGCCAGGGCTAGGGTTAGGGATGGGGCACCACTGCGGCCTCTGTGGTTCTTTGGTGCTATTGGACACATGGCCTGTGCATGTAGCACTGATGAAATTTTTAGAATGAACTCCAGTCAAATATAAAATTAGTTTTCATTTTAAGCATATATAAAGGTTAAACCCTAACTTCTCCAGCCACCGAGTGGACTGTTAAAGGCCCTTGGTTAGATCAAGTTCAAGGGCCAGATGCTCCTTTTCAGGGATGCTGCAGGAGTCTCCCATGCAGGGCCAGGAGGTGGCGCCATAGCGCCCTCTGCTGGACATGCCTGTGCTCTGCGCCTTCAGTCCTGACTCCAGGGCATTAAAGTGTCTGGCATCTGTCCTTCTGGGGCTTGACGGTGTTTTCCTGACCTTTATCGTCTTCAGATAATTAAGTGGTATTTTAAAACACAGTGAACATCTTGGGACACTCACAGTACATTAAATTAATTTCCTGTATCTGGACTTGTCTAAATCCTATTTAATAGCTATGGGTTTTTGAAGATGATCTTATACAGCGAATCTTAACCTATATTCTTTTCTTTCCCTCTGTACTCATAATACCATGATTTTTAGCAGTCAGCCTTAAATATGACCAGTGAAACTGTGGGTGTCCCCAGGACCCCTTAAGGGGGTCCACAAGGTCAAAACTTTTCATAATAATACTAAGCCAATAATACTAGTTACCATTTTCGCTGTGTCATCATTTGCAGTGATTGTGCAAAATCAACACCCTTGAAACAGATGAGCACAAATAAAGGCAGAGGCCTCTTCTAGATGACACTGATCTTTTACCATTATGCTTTCAGTATAAAAGAAAAAGATAAAATACCAGATACCAGTTTTACTTAGGAATGTCCTTGATGAAGTAGCAAAAATTACTAATTATATTAAATCTCAATCCTTGATTACATGTCTTTTTAATATTCTATGTGATAAACAGCTCTTCTGCTGTCTGCCAAAGTATGATGGCCATCTCAAGGAAAAGCTCCTGTGCAATGAGTTGAGTGGAACTAGCCACTTTTTTTGAAATGTCATTTTTTTTAAAAGAATAACAGACACATTGTGATCATTCAGACCCAGAGATGTGGCAGACATTTTCTCAAAAATAAATGGTGTGAACCTGGTGTATCCACAAAAACAACTGACAGATTTTATTGCCAGTACTTTTTTAAATAAAAAAAAAAAAAGCAAAGAGAATTTTGAAAAACTGGTATCTTTTCCAATGAGGTTGGTAGTGATATTAACAAATGTGATTTTTCAATATTATGTAATGAAATGTGTCAACATTTGGAAGATATGTAACTCATTGAATATTTTCCAAGTGACCAGTGCATAATATTAAAACTATGCATGTGAGTAAAAGATTCATTCAAATTGCAAGGGAGACTAATGGGATTTTTTATATCTTTTTATTGAGGTAAAATTCACATAACATAACGTTAACCATTTTAACCACTTAAAAGTGTACATTCACAATGTTGTGCAACCATTACCCCATCTAGTTCTAGAACATTTTCACCTCCCCAAAAGGAAACCCTGTACCAGTCAGCAGTTACTTCCCATCCCCTTGGCACCAGTCTGCTCTCTGTCTGTGTGGATTTGCCTCTTCTGGACATTTCACATAAATGAATCATACAGTGTGTGGCCTTTTGTGTGAGATGTTTTCAGGGCCCATCCACATTGTAGTCTGTGTCATTGCTTCATTCCTTTTCATAGCTGAGTAATACTCCGGAGTATGTATGGTGCACACTGTGTTTATCTATTAACCTGTGATTGATATTTGGGTTTTTCCACTTTTTGCCATTATGAATAATGCTGCTATGAACATTTGTGTGTAAGTTTTTGTTTAAACACCTGTTTTCAGTTCTTTTGAATACATACCTAAGAGTGGAATTTCTGGGTAATATGGGTTAACTGGGTTTATGTTTAACTTTTTGAGGCACTACCATATTGTTTTCCACAGCAGCTGCATCATAGGACATTCCACCTGCAATGTATAAGGGTTCCAATTTCTACACGTTTTCCCCTAACACTTCATTATCTTGGGTTTTCTTTTTAGCCATATTGGTGGATATGAAGTGGGATCTCATTGTGATTTTAGTCTTGTATTTCCCTAATGATTAATGCCGTTGAGGAACTTTACATGTGCTTATTGGAGACATGTCCATTCAAGCCTTTTGCCATTTTTAATTGGATTGTTATTTTGTTGGTGAGTTATGAGAGTTCTTTAATATTCTAAATACAAGACCCGCCGAAAGTGACACAGTCTCTTCTAGTTGGCACTGTCATTGCGAAAAGCTTCATAGAGAGAAGTATGGGAGAGTGTGGGTTGTCCTTTCACTCTCTTATTAGTGTCATTTGGTGCACAAAACTTTTTTAAAATATTTATTTTTATTGATTTCAGAGAGGAAGGAAGAGGGAGGGAGAGAGATAGAAACATCAGTGATGAGAGAGAATCATTAATCGGCTGCCTCCTGCACACCCCCCACACTGGGGATCGAGCCTGCAACCCAGGCATATGCCCTGAAAGGGAATCAATCCATAACCTCCTGGTTCATAGGTCGATGCTCAATCACTTGCCAGCTTAGCGGTGCACAAAAGTTTTTAGTTTTGATGAACTCCAGTTTATCTTTAAAATTGTTTTTTATATGTTTGTGCTTTTGATGTCATCTAAGAATCCATTGCCAAATCCAAGGTCATGAAAATAACCTTGTTTTACATGATTACCTGATGTTTTCCTCCAGGAGTTTTATAGTTTTAACTCTTTCATTTAGTTCTTTGATCCATTTTGAGTTGACTTTAAGGTCTAGCTTCATTCTTTTGCATGTGGCCGTGCAGTTATCCCAGTGCCATTTTTTGAAAATTTTACTCTTTTTCCATTGAATGGTCTTGACATCCTTGTAAAAATCAATTGACCGTAGATGTATGGGTTATTTCTAGTCTCTCAATTCTATCCCATTGATCTGCATGTTTATTTTTATCCCAGGAACGCACTGTGTTGGTTACTGTAACTTTGTGTTAAGTTTGAAATCGGAAGTGTGAGTCTTCCATCTTTGTTCTTTTTCAAGATTGTGTCGGCTATTGGGAGTCCTTTGCAATGCCATATGAATTTTAGGGTCAATTTTTCTATTTCGGTAAAGCAGTTGGAAGTTTAATAGAGAATTTTTACAGGGATTGCATTGATTCTATAGATCATTTTGGAGAGTATTGCCATATTAACAATATTAAGTCTTTCAATCCATGAGCATAAGATATCTTTCTGTTTATTGTGGTTATCTTTAGTTTCAGCAGTGTTTTATAGTTTTCATTGTACAAGTATTTCACCTCCTTGGTTAAATTTATTCCTAGGTATTTTTTCTCTTTGATACTATTGTAAGTAGGGTTGTTTTCTTAATTTCCTCTTCACAGTGTTCATTATTCAGAAGTGTAACTGATTTTTGTATGTTGCTCTTATATACTGCAACTTTTATAAATTAATTTATGAGCGCTAATTGTCTTTAATGGATCCTTTAAGATTTTTTATATTTAAGATCATGGTGTCTGCAAATAGAGATAGTTTCATTTCTTCCTCTTCCATTTGGCTGCCTTTTATTTGTTATTGTTTTCCAATTGCCCTGGCCGGAACTTCTGGTACAATGTTGAATAGAATTGGCAAGAGTGTACATAAACAACAGTGGTTGTCCCGTACACTGAAAGGTCGTGGCACTTACCCAGGTTGTGGGTTCCATCCCTAGTTGGGGTTTGTACAGGAGGCAACTGATTGATGTTTCTTTTTCTCCCTTTCTCTAAATTCAATGGAAAATAAATCCTCAGGTGAGGATTAAAAAAAAAGAAGTGATGAGTGAAACAGCATTCCTCTAGCTCCTGAGTCCAGCCCTGCTGCACTTGCTGGAATACCTGTTCAGCCTGCCTTTTGCAGAAGCATTGCTGAAGTCTTTGCCTTCCCTGGTGTGTGAGGACAGACGGTGTATGCTTTAGGGTCACTGCTTTTCATTGCAGCTCTCTGCCTTTTGTGGCGGGCCACGGCAGAGTTTAAATGTCCATGTACAAGTCAAGGTCAAATTCAGCACATACAAACGTGGTAGCCACACACAATGGGGTGTTTCTTCCTTTGCTTAGACCTGTGGCACCACTTCAGTCCTCACGTCCATGAGATCCTTAGAACCCAACTAAAAAGTCCCCCTCCCTCAGGAAGGCCTGCCTGATAGCTCCGTTCTCATTGCCGCACATCCCTCTTTGCACAGCTCACACACACTTCATAAACATTCAGGAGCTTATCTCTGTGACATGTCCAGTGACCCCAGGGTCCAATGCCTCTGATGGCAGGGCCTGGGTCTTTGTCCTTGTTGGTATTTTCCCAAAGCATCCAGGAGAGAGACCCTGGATTTGTGACAGGACAGGCTGACCAGGAAGTCAGTGCTGCCAACTGCCTTCAGCAACAGATGACGTGTGTGGGGAGCAGCAGGTGGTTATTCTCTGGCTTTGCTCACATTTGAATGTGTGCAGTGACTCAGTGTTCATGGTGTGCCTGTGCACATGCAGCCCATGTTCACATCACAGCTTCATCCGCTGCGTGCGCTCCTCGGGCTCCTGGGCTCATCTGCATGTGACGAAGTAACACGCCTGGCTGTAGCTTCAACTCACGACTTAACCCATCTCCCCTGCCTGCATTAAGCCTTATTTTTGTTTTGTAGGCGCTTGAATCATTTATTTGGATATTAATAAAAACAAGTCTTGGCTGATGCTAACCATCTGATTTCCTTTTTTTTTTTCCATTTTGTTTTGTTTTGTTTCTGCACACATTTTCTTTAGCTTGAAATGGCGATTGAAAACCTCCAAAAAAGCGAAGGGATCACATCACACAAAAGCGGTTTACTCAACAGCCATGTAAGTGTGTGTCGCCTGGTGGTCTGCCCCACTGTGCACGTACCTGCATGGGCATTTCAAAAATAAGTGAAGGAAATGACTTAATACCTTTACAATGTTGAAAGGGAGAGAAAAGCTAGCCTAGAGTTTTGTATGCAGCAAAAATATCCTACAATGTAAAGGGGATGGAGGCAAGTTCTTCATTCCTAAAGGTAGATGATCAGAGTACCTACTTCTTCAGGGGCATGTTATGGGGATTAGATTATTTAATACACATGACATGCTTCCAACAATGCCTGGCAGATCACAAGCATTATAAATAAAGTTAATACTAAAATAAGTAACAATAATAAAGTATGACACAGGGTAGGGAATGCTATAAAGTTTCTTAGCTGAGTTTCCTATGATAGTTCTTGGGGCGGGGGGAGGTAATTTGAGAAAAATGCAAAGCAACACTTTCCTAATAATTTGGGCTTTGTAAAAACTCTTTCTCCTTCACTTGCCTCCTGGGGAAAACCGTGAGTGTGTGTCCCGTGCCAGGAGGAGGCAACCGTCTTTGTCCCTGGGCAGCCTCAGGGGGCAAGATGGCACTGGTGACAATTAAGAGTCTCTATTTCCTGGAACAGTTTAGAAGGAAAGCTGTGGTCTCCTCACGCTCCTTCCTTTTCCCTCTACTACTCCTAATGCTCTAAATTTAGCTTTATGTGGAACTGGAAATTTGAAAGTAGGACAGGCCACTGAAGTCAGAATGTGCTTCTCAAGCACTTAGGTTGGGATTTGACCCCAAATGTCTTTAATTCTCTTGAGAATTAAAACATCAAGAAAAAAGTCCCCTGTAGTCATTCACGATCCTAACTGTGGCCCCATCAAGACTTTCGTACTGGCCAAGTGTTGCCTGAAAGGAAGTGGTTCTGAGGCAGAGTGAGCTAGAGAAAGGCCCCAAAACTTCGGGGTTTATGGGTTGGCACAGGTGAGGCCAGCTGCTCCAGGCACACGTGATGAGGGTCTGCACTCCTCAGCCTCAGAGGCGAGTTACTAGAAGGAAAAGCAGCCTCACTGAGTTGTCTCAGGAAAAGCACAGAAGACCAGCAGGCCGCTCCCCAGGGCCCCCCCAGGCTAGGTGGGTCGTGGCCACCCTGTTGCCCATCACTGATGGACAGTTGTCGCCTGTGGGCACAGCTGGGGAGGGAAATTCTTCAGTGAGTGCTGGGAGGGGAGGATACCTACCCCCACCCTGTCAAACTCCAAGCACACTGGTTAGAATGTGTGCAGAATGACAGTGTGCTCCAGGGACCATCTCTGTTCAGTGGGGCCAGGCTTGCTTCAGCTGTCAAGCAAGAATACATGGCCACGTCATAGCCTGTGGGCCCAGCGCTAGGTCAGTCCTGGGGAGAGCCCTGTGAGGAAGGCAGGATGGAGGCGCAGACCCCAGCAGGCAGCACGTGTGTCCGTGGGAATTTTAAAATGTCTCGGGAACGCATGCGCTGCTGGTCTGGCTGCAGGGCTGCTCCTGGCTTTCTAACACTTTTCTTTTGGAAGGCAGACTTTCCAGGGTGCTTACAGCCAGTTTATATTCCTGAGTTGACTTCCGAGCAGGAAAATCTCCCCATGTTCGTTTTCTCCCTGCTGATCTGTGGTTGAGCCTCCTTCCATCAGGAGCTGTTAGCAGGAGCTGGGGCTTGGCAATTTGGAGTCAAAGGGAATAGACATATCTTTCTAAAGAGCTGACTGCATGCTGAGTGGAGTGCCCTGGAGCTGTCCTTGCAGATGTGAGAGCGGGAGGAAGATGTAAAGAGATGGGCAGTGTGTCCTGTTGACACCTGTCATAGTCTCAGTTGGCTGAGCCTGCCCTCTGGCCACGGCTCAGTTGTCACCATGGCTGCCTACATCTAAGATCGCGTTAGTATTGGGCGACAGGGGCCACAATCCCCAATCCTTTGCCAGCCCAATCCAGAGCAGATGAGCATGGTTGGGGGTAGGGAGGAAGGGGGCTGTCACAGCATGCCCCCAGCATCGGGGCTGTAGGAGCAAAAGGAACAAGAGCTTAGACTGTGAGGGCAGGAGCTCGGTGGTGTGAGAAAACCCACCTACACAAACCAGTCTGCCCAGGAAGCCAGGGCAGAGGTTTACCTCTGAAACTACCACTGTTTTCTTCCCATGCACTGTCTTGGGGTGGGTGCGGGTGGTGATGCCTAGAGCCCAGGAGGGCTGGGCAGCATGTTCCAGATCCAGCCGATGTCAGGGTCCCCCCAGAGCTTCCCATGCTGCCCTTGGGGGCTCAGACCTAGAGGTCTTTAGGTTGAAGGAACCTTATAGCCTTCATGTGGAAATCCCACAGGAAGGGGGCCTCAAGTGAGCAGTCTCTAAAATAGGGGTGGCTGTGATTTGGTGGCGTGAAAACAAGGGATAGCTGTTACAGAGGAAGGAGGTGATGAAGATGGTGCTGGGGATGAAAACACCACCCATTGGTGTCACTGTGGCCTCCCACTGACATGCCTGGCCTCAATCGAGGTCCCCCACCAAGAGCATTGGAGGTGCCAGGCTTTTCCCAGAACCACCACCCTATTGTCCCCCAGATCACTGTGTGAGAAGCTTCCCCCCACCACCCGACACTCACTGACTCAGGGACCCCACAACATGTTCACCAAGTCACTGTTATGGGGAGGCAGCCACTGTCTACTAAAATGAACTCTTATTTCCAAACCCTGCTTTTATTAATTGTATTCAGATTATATGACGTTTTTGTTGTTAATTTTCATCAGATTATATATTTTTTTCCCATTGATTTTTAGAGAGAGTGGAAGGGAGGGTGAGAGAGAGAAACATCAATGTGAGAGAAACACAATTGGTTGCCTCCTGCACTTGCCCCAACCAGGGCCGAAGATCGAGCCTGCAACCCAAGCACTTAATGCTCTTGACTGGAATTAAACCCGAGACCCTTCAGTCCGAGGGCCATCTTTCCACTGAGTCAAACTGGCTAGGGCCTATATGACTTTAATTTAAAAAAAAAAAAACAACACAACACAAATTGTCAAAGATCCTTTAGCCTTTAGTTGATGGCCAACCGCAGGCCAGTATAATGACCAAGCTGTCACCTTCAGACTAAGATGAGGCTTGGCTAGAGTGGCAGCTTCATGGCATGGGTCCCTTGTCCAGAAGTTGTTCCAAATTATTGTGTCATGCCTAGCAGTGGTCTTGACAGGACCATTATTCCTTCACTATTCCTGACTCACCCTCCCTGCCTTGCTGACCCCATCCCTGCTGCTGTCAGGACAGGTGGTTTTCTTGCAGGGCATCTGCCTGGACCCCTCTCCCAACTCCACATTTTAGTGTCCAGAGCTGAGCCCTGACACCCCCTAACCCCTCCTCCTCTCACCATTGTCCCTGCTCACCAAGTACTTCCAGCGCTCATCCTTGCTTTCCGCCTTCTCCCGCACCTCACCTGATGCTCCTTGACATCACCTTCAGAACAATCCATGATCAGACCGCTTCTCCCATTTCCACCACTATGGCCACACACACACACACACACACACACACACACACACACACACACACACACCATCTCTCCCGTGGATTGTTAAGTCAACCCTCGGCTCCCACGCCCTTCTCATGGCAGCTGCCAGAGTGATCCTACTAACTAAAACCTAAGTCAGATCCTTGCACTTCTCTGCTCAGAAGCCTGCAGGGCCCCACTGCCCTACAAGTAGAAGCCAAGTTCATGGAAATGGCCTTGCAGGACCTCCCCATCCGTTCCCTGCTCTCAGCTCCTCCCTCTCTCCTCCTCTGCTCCAGCCACACAGACCTCCTCACTGTTCCTCCAGCACCAGGCACAGTTCTGCCTCAACAAACCTTTGAATGGGCTGTTCCTTTGCCCGAGACTCTTCCCCAATGGCCCCCTCCCTCAGCTTCTTCATGTCTTTACTCATTTGCCCTCAAATCAGTTTCCTTTCATGGTAACTTCTCAGTGCAAACCAGAGAGGAAGTGTAACCAACTGTTCTTTTGGAGAATGGTTTCAGTTCTCCCTGTAGTCACTTGTACTTGGAGGAAGATAACTATGCATTTTTAATCGCATGATGACCTTGATGTCAGCTCAACAGAATCACCCAAACAGAGAAGTCTACTTTTAATTTAAATAACATGGGATTGGGGAAAAGGAATCATATTTCCTGAACATTCTCTAGTCTCCCCCGAAATTCTCTTTCTAACCATTACCTTCGGTAATGGGCCAGGTATTGAACAGTGGGCCAGGTATTCGCCTTCCTCCCTCAGGACCCCTGGTGCAGTGCCCCTTCCAGTCCACCACCCACACAATATGCCCACCCTCTAGCCCAGGACCACTGTCATCACGTGGCCCCTGCCCCATCCACCATCGTCGTCAGTGGGGTTGTCTGGACAGAGGTGGAGCTTAGATAGACCCCCACCTCCCACAAGGATCCTGCCTCAGGCTGGTTCCTCTGCACATGGCTCCTGCCTGTCCCCAAAGCTCATGTGTGGTTAAGGCCTTTTGTACTCACATAGCAGAATGGAACCAGAATCAAACTACAGCTTTGGGGCATTGTGCTTGGGGCTCCCAGGTGGGCGTGTTGCCCCATGCGGGGACTTCGCTTTCTACAAGGGCGGCTCCTACCTGTCCAACACTAGCGACCTTTGGGGGCAGCAACTTCAACTTTCCATTCTTTTTCCTGCCTCGGCCTGAGCACAAAGTCCTCCACATGAGCCTCATAGGTATCTCACTCAGTTTCTATCTGTGCTCCACTCGGTCAGGACCTGCAGGAGATACTAGTCCATCTCCATGGACAACTGGCCGGTGCAGGGCACGGTGCTCACAGGCCCCTGAGTTTTCTTGAATCTGCCTCTTTCTCGTCATCAGAATTGATCTTCGTTCCCGTGGCTTTAGGAGACATTTAGTGTTTAAGCAGCATCAGAGGCGTGTGCATGTTTAAATGATTATAAGAACAAATTGTACGAGGTCTCCATCCATGTATATTTTTCTCAATTAAGTCAAGGAGAATGAAAATTGAAGGAATAAAGAAGCAGGTGAAAAGAAGCTACTAAGTAACGTGCCCAGAATCTTTGGAACCCAAATCCATGACAGTAGCAATGAATTTCCTCACCATGCAAAGTGAAGGGAAAGCATGTGGTTAGCATTTTGGTGTTAGGGGGAATCTGACAGTCAGGTCTGTGTCTCTTTCTCCAGCTCCAGTGGCTGTTAGATAATTACGAAACCGCTGAAGGCGTCAGTCTCCCCCGAAGTTCTCTTTATAACCATTACCTTCGGCACTGCCAGGAGCACAAGCTGGACCCTGTGAATGCCGCCTCCTTTGGGAAACTGATTCGCTCTGTGTTTATGGGCCTGAGGACGCGGCGGCTGGGTACCAGGTGGGTAGAAGGGGCTGTCTGACAGCCCGCACACCCACCCGTTCTTCCTCTTTCTTTATGTAGAAATCAAGCTTTTGGAGAACAGGGGGCTTCCTCCTCCTGCCCACACTTCCTGACTGACATGCCTCTGGGTGGACTTGGAGCTGCCCCAAATTGGCGGCAGCATTGGCCTGGCCAGGGCCAAGGTGCGGGCTGTGGTTCAGTTCTCTTCAGATGGCAGGACGCAGGGGTTCGCTTCAGCTCTCTCTTTGTTTGAAATTTTCCATAATAATAGGGTTTTTTTAAAGCTGCCTCGGGATTATTTAATAGAGTTGGATTTACTATTTCTTGATGCTTTTCACTGTACTTGGACCAACCTACCATGGCCTGCCCTTGGCCTGTATCTGCCAGGGAACCTCATGTGTCATAAACTTCACCAGACAATAATGCAAACACCCCTCTCACTAGAAAAAAACAGTGGCCACAGTATCCTTAAAGTGAGTGGCCTGGAGATCATGTGGCCGTGATCAGTGACAGGCCTAGCACTTGCTTTCAGTGAGGTTGTACAGAAATGGGTGGCAGGGAGCATTCATGCCCTCTCAGAAGCCGGCATCCTGGCCAAGAAAACGGGCAAGTCTTCTCTTGCCCTCTGCCACTTTGATCCTTGACAGAGAATGTCTTTATAGAATATAGCCACAGAACTGGTTTTCTGACTGCAGGACTTCTCAGAGCCTTTATCATACTAAAATACAAGAGGGGAACCTCCCAGAGGGGGAGGTAGTGTGCAGAGTTTTCTAAACCTCTCTGGCCATGGGACAGCTTGTAAGCATTTCCCATAAGGTCCAGAAAACACTGAACCCAAGGGCCCCAAAGTGCAGGTGCCAAAACAGAGCACCTCCTGTCCTTTAGGACATCTGCAAGGAGAGCTGACTCGTGGTGTTTGGTTTCTAGGGGCAACTCAAAGTATCATTACTATGGAATCCGTCTAAAGCCGGACTCGCCCCTGAACCGGCTGCAGGAGGACACCCAGTACATGGCCATGCGGCAGCAGCCTGTGCATCAGAAACCGAGGTGAGTTACCGGGTTGAGGCTGGCCTGAGGAAGGGGACAGGGCCTGGGTTTTTCTAGGGAAGATACTTCTCAAACATTAAATACATTCGTATGAGGGGACTCCCATTCTGCAGTGGAGAAAACAAACTCATTAACCTCAATCTCCAGTGTCCTGGGAGAGCCAAGGCATTCACCTCCACTGACATGAAGGGAGGCCAGCAGGACTTGGGGCCGAGGATGCAACCTCAAGCTAACAGCACTTACAGAGTGCTCTCTTTAAAAAAAAAAAAAGACATTATTTTTTAGAGTGGTATTAGGTCACAGCAAAATTGAATGAAAGATACATATACTCCCTGCCTCACACGCACAGCCTCCCCACTATCCACATCCCCTGACAGAGTGGCGCCTTTGTTTCAGTCAGTGACCCTAACAAAGTTCCAATCAATGACCCCAATAAATCGATGACTCCAACAGCAGATGAATGGATCATTAAAATGGAATATATATACCACCGAAACCGGTTTGGCTCAGTGGATAGAGCGTCGGCCTGCGGACTGAAGGGTCCCAGGTTCGATTCCGGTCAAGGGCATGTACCTGGGTTGCGGGCACATCCCAGTAGGAGATGTGCAGGAGGCAGCTGATCGATGTTTCTCTCTCATCGATGTTTCTAACTCTCTATCCCTCTCCCTTCCTCTCTGTAAAAAATCAATAAAAAATATTAAAAAAATATATAATATATATATGCAATAGAATAGGATTCAGCCGTAAAAAGGAAGGACATCTGACACATGACAATAGGGATGAACCTGGAAGACATTATACTCAGTGAGAGAAGCCAGACACAAAAGGACAAATATTGTAGGAGGTCCAGACATAGAAGGTCCCTAGAAGAGTCAGAGTCATAGAGACAGAAAGTAGATGGTGGGAGCCAGGGGCTGGGGAAAGGCAGGGATGGGTTAATGTTTAATAGGGACATAGTTTTAGTTTGGGAAGATAGAACTTTCTGGAGGGGGATGGTGGTGATGGTTGTACAACTATGTGAATGTACTTAATGTCACTGAGCTATACACTTAAAAATTATTAAGGTGGTACATTTTGTTATGTATATTTGACTGCAGTTATTTTAAAACTGGAAGCCCAGTGCATGAAATTCATACATGGTGGGAGGTGGAAGCACCCCCAGTCCAGCCAGCATCCTCTCGCAATACAGGACCCCCTGTGGGATCGGGCCTAAACCAGCAATCGGACATCCCTCTCACGATCCGGGACCACTGGCTCCTAACCGCTCACCTGCCTGCCTGATCACCTCTAACCCCTCTGCCTGTCTGCCTGATTGCCTCTAATCGCTCACCTTCTCAGAGCCTTTATCATACTAAAATACAAGAGGGGAACCTCCCAGATTGCCCCTAACCGCTCCCCTGCCTGCCTGATCCCCCCTAACTGCCTCTGCCTCAGCCCCCGCCGCCGCAGCTTTGTCCGGAAGGATGTCTGGAATGATGTCCAGAAGGTCGTTTGGCTGTCCGTTCTGATTAGCATCTTATGCTTTTATTATTATAGATTATACACACACACACACCAACTGTATCCTGTTCAGCCCTGTGCTCCTCAGGCCCCTTCTAGGCAGTGTTGCTGGGGCCTCATGGTGGCATGTGTGTTTTCTACCCAGGTACCGGCCAGTCCAGAAGTCAGACAGTCCTGGGGACAATGGCTCACACAGCAGCCTACACAGCACGCCAGAGCAGGCCATGGCCGCCCAGAGCCAGCACCACCAGCAATACATAGGTGAGCAGGGACACTCCCACCCTGGGTGCAGGGCCTGCTGTGAAAGTCCGGCTATCCATCCTCAGCACTTCTGGGTGCTTGTGGGTTTCGGCACCAGCAGCATCCACAGGGGTGCATTAAACAGTTTTCTTGTGTGACACCTTTTCTTTTTGATAAATTTCTCTTTATTTGAGAGAGATACATTGATTTTGTTGTTGTTGTTGTTGTTCCACTTATTCATTGGTTGATTCTTGTATGTACCCTGACTAGGGATCACACTCCCAACCTTGGCATATCTGGACAACGTTCTAGCCAACTGAGCTACCCAGCAGAGCTTGACACCTTTTTTGTTACATAGAAAGTTTTAGATAAGCTTCATTGTGTCATCCCTGAGATTTTAGAACAATCAGCATATGTCCCCAAAATTAATGTATAAAATGACCATCAAAAAAATAAATAGCCCTGGCCAGTGTGGCTCAGTGCTTAGAACATCGGCCTGTGCACCAGAGGGTCGAGGGTTTGATTCCCGGTCAAGGGACTGTACCTGGATTGCAGGTTTGATCCCCGGACCCAGTGGGGGCATGTGTGGGAGGCAACCAATCTCAGATTGATGTTTCTCTCTTTCTCTCTCTCTTCTTTTCTCCCTCCCCTCACCCTCCCTTTTACTCTCTCTAAAAGAAAAAAAATCAATGGAAAAAATATCCTCGGGTGAGGATTAACAAAAAAAACCTAAATAAAATTAAATGCCCGTCAGAAAGAAGACTAGATGTCCTATTTTATTTTATTTTTTAATCCTCACATAAGGATATGTTTGTTTGTTTATTGATTTTAGAGGGGGTGGGGAGAGAGAAAGAGAAACATTGATGTGAGAGAAACATTGATCAGTTGCTGATCAGGAATCGAATCTGCAACCTGGATATGTACCCTGACCAGGGATCGAACTCAAGACCTTTGGGTGTACAGGACGATACTCCCACTAGCCGAGCCACACCGGCCAAGCTAGATGTCCTATTGTAAAACCTGTCGGCTCAGGGCAGCAGCAGGGTTTGCCTGTCCTCCTGGGTTCTCCTCCTTGCTTAACTGGATACTCAAGACCCCTGGAAAACTGGATTTCTCCCCTCCCGGGGCCCTCACAAAGGGCTGCCTGGCCCTCTTCCCTGGGAACTGTGGGAGAGACTGTTTCCCCACCCACCCACCCGGTGGCCCCACTGCTTTCTTGGGATTGCATCCTAAGAGCCTGCCACCGGGACATGCCCAGGGAGGGTCACTGGGATCAGTGTCAAGCATACACACACTGAGACATCAGTGGCCTGGTGTATTTTTAATGTATTTCTTGAGCCTGTATTTCCTGTGTTGGGTCTTCTAGAGGTTGTCATGCCCGGGATCACCACAGGGCCAGCCTTGTCCCCAGAGGCACTGCTCTGGCTGGCTCCCCTGTTGGGGCGATGAGAACACTCACTGTGTCTGGGACCTGGCACAATGCTTTGTCTTGTCTCAGCATATTTCATGTTAGTGGGAGGTGATGCTGTTTCCCACACTGTACCTGAGAAAACTGAAGCGTACAAAGCTGTGTAACTGCTCAGGGAAGCCAGGATGCCGCCCAGGGTTGCCGGTGGTCACCACCACTTCTGGATAGCATCCCCCAGCACACGGGACGCCCAGCCTGGCTTCGGCTCATGGACCTTCTGCAGGTCTGCTGATGACCCCGTTTCCGTCCTCCCCCCACCCCCCAGATGTCTCCCACGTCTTCCCGGAGTTCCCAGCACCTGACCTGGGCAGCGTCTTGCTGCAGGAGAGCATCACGCTTCAAGACGTCAAGGCCCTGCAGCTGGCCTATCGGCGGCACTGTGAGGTGACTGCCCCTTCCAGGTGGCCCCCAGGAAGAACCCACACCTGGGCTGTGGGGATTCAGTGGGAACCTCGGTGCCCCCAGGGCCTGGGTGCAGAGCCCAGTGTGCCTCCCCAGGACTACCAAATCCTCGGACATCCCAGGTGCCCCTGACAACACAGAGGACCCAGAGTGGCCCCTGCTCCCTCTAGCCAAGGAGCAGATAGAATCTTTGCCCCCTGGACAGCGCCCCTTTGTCCATTTCCATCTCCACTGTGGTCTCTCTCTGATTTCAAAAGACCCCCTCCCCCACAGCCTGAATCACCACTGACTGCTTAGAATGTCCTGATGACATGTGATCCACACCCTTTTTAAAAATATATATATATTTTTTTAATTGATTTCAGAGAGGAAGGGAGAGATGGAAACATCAATGGTAATCTTTGATTGGCTGCCTCCTGCACACCCCTTACTGGGGATGGAGCCTGCAACCTGGGCATGTGCCCTTGACCAAAATCAAGCCCGGACCTTTCAGTCCACAAGCCGATGCTCTATTCACTGAGCCAAACCAGCTGGAGCGACCCACACCCTTTTGAACACCCACATTCATGCGTCTAACGGGCCAATTTTACTTCCAGGCAACTTTAGATGTCGTGATGAACCTCCAGTTCCACTACATTGAGAAGCTGTGGCTTTCCTTCTGGAATGCTAAAGCCTCCCCCAGCGATGGCCCTGCCTCTCTACCAGCCAGGTATTGTGGTTGTTCCCCCCGACAGGCGCGATGACACCCACACTGTGACCCACAGATAAATGCGTCTACTTTCCAAGAATTGGCACTCCCCCCATAATTACATGTTGTTTTTATACTTCTGACAGTTGATTTGTAATTTGCATTGCCCAGTCACTTGTTTCAAGTGAGTGTTTTATTGGTGACCATATGCCATCCCAAAGAGCAGTCAGCAGTAGCTACAGTGGGAAATGTCATTATCTCAGCCATAGGTGGGGGGTGGACAGCATGACCTGCGGGGGGTGGTCTCCAGACCTTGGCTTACCTTGTCTCCTCCATTCCCCCACAGTGATGAGATTCCCGAAGCCACCGTCCTCCCGAAGGACAAGCTGGTGTCTCTGTGTAAATGTGACCCCATCCTTAAGTGGATGAGGAACTGTGACCACATCCTCTACCAGGCCCTGGTGGAGGTCCTCATCCCCGACGTGCTGCGGCCAGTACCCAGTAAGCAGCTTGCTCACCTGCCTCTCTCCTTTTTCCCCTGCACCCCTGCAGCCACTTTGTCAGGTCCAGCTCAGACTGGGACACAGAATCCAGTGAGAGCAGCAGCTTGGTCACCCTGGAAAGATGCTCACCCCTGCCTGCACGTTTTCCTTGTCATTGACCTGGGAGAGAAGGAGGGAGGGCCTTATGGCTCTGGTGAGGGTTGCCCACTCTCAGGTCTCTGCACACCTAGTCTGGACTGGGCTTAGGGCTTCATGCTACTGCCCAGTGCAGTGGGCTTCTGGGTCTCTGATGTCCCAAAGGAGTTCTAGACTGTGGGGACATCCATACCCCTCCAGGCTGCTGCATTTGCTGAAAGCCCGAGGGATAGTCTGAATCCAGTTTTATCCCAATTTCCCCAAGTTGATATGAGGCTGAGCTCAGCTTCCTCCCAAACCTGTGATTCTTTAGCACCAAAAGTTGGATTCTATAGAATTTTCTCCAGATTCCAGCATCCTTAATTTAGGAAAGGAGGAAAAAAATGAAATCATGGGCCTCACTGGCTACATCCATTAGGGCTGACATGGACCTTCCCAGGGAACTGACTGGGAACTGCCTGCCAGGCCTCTGGTGGTGGTAACTCCCACCACCAGGAGGCACTGTTGTGCCAGCCTCTGACTTCCAGACTTTCCTGTGGGCTCCCGCATCATCCCAAGTGAAGGGTGAGCAAGGTGGGTACCTGAGGCCTCATTGTTTTTCGTTGTTGTTTTTTAATCCTCACCAGAGGATATTTTCCCCATTGCTTTTTCAGAGAGAGTGGAAGTGGGGAAGGGAAAAGGGGAGAGAGAGAGAGAGAGAGAGAGAGCAAGAGATGTGAGACCGAGACAGACTGGTTGCCTCCTGCATGCACTCTGACCAGCGGTGGGGAGTGAACCTGCCACCCAGGTACGTGTCCTTGACCGGGAATTGAACCCACAACCCTTTGGTGTGCAGGCCGATGCTCTAACCACTGAGCATACTGGCCAAGGCTGAGGCCTTGCTCTTCTTTTTTTTTATTTTTTATTGATTAAGGTATTACATATGTGTTCATATCCCCTCTTTACCCCACCCCTCACCCCCCCTGCTCATGCCCTCACCCCCCTGGTGTCTGTGTCCATTGGTTAGGCTTATATGCATGCATATAAGTCATTTGGTTAATCTTTCCCCCTTACTCCCACTCTCCCCTACATTCCCTCTGAGGTTTGACATTCTGAACAATGCTTCTCTGTCTCTGGATCTGTTTTTGTTCATCAGTTTATGTTGTTTATTATATTCCATAAACGAGTGAGATCGTGTGATATTTATCTTTCTCCTACTGGCTTATTTGGCTTAGCATAATGCTCTCCAGGCCCATCCATGCTGTTGGGAATGGTAGGAGTTCCTTCCTTTTTACAGCAGCATAGAATTCCATCGTGTAGATGTACCACAGTTTTTAATCCACTCATCTGTTGATAGGCACTTAGGTTGTTTCCAAATCTTAGCTATTGTAAATTGTGCTGCTATGAACATAGGGGTGCGTATATCCTTTCTGGTTGGTATTTCTAGTTTCTTGGGATATATTCCTAGAAGTGGGATCACTGGGTCAAGTGGGAGGCCTCGCTCTTAATGCCTCCAGCAGACACCACAGGTTACACTTGGCAGGTGACCTATGCACATTTGTGTCAGTGCTTGGAAACCCCTGGTTTTTCTTGCACTGCTACTTTTGTGCCAGAAAATGGGAAACAGCATAATGATTGCATTTATCCTATGGCCTTGCCTGCCCAACAGCTGTTAAGTATAGTGTGCAGTAAGTCTATATTAAGGTTTGAATTTGGGATAGATTTGCTTTTACATTGGGGGATTTTTTATTTTTAGAGTCTTATTATTTCCTTCTTACTGTAACCCATCTCAAAGTCAATTTAGAAGTTGATAGGATATATTTACATGCATGTGTATCCGGGTCTCAGTTTCAGCACTGCTGACACTGGGGCCCGGTCACTCTCTGTGGGGTCATCCTGGGCACTGTGGGGTGTTGAGCAGCATCCCTAGCCCCCACCCACTCAAGGCCAGGAGCACTCCCAGCCATGAGAACCACATAAGTCCCCCAGGGGGCAGGGTCACCCTAGGTGAGAACCCCTAGTATAGACAGATAGGTGAACCGAGATGAACGGTCTAGACAGGCCCTAACTCTTACTCCAGGCTCCCCTCACTAAGTGTCCCAAATTATCCCCCATGCCTGTGCTGCTCCCTTGTTCTCTTTTCCTCCGTGTTGCTTTTGGGTGGTAACTTTCATTACATTTGCATCTTATCCATGGCTGATCCTGAGGGGCGAGGCTCTGCCTTTCTCACTGTTAATATCGTGTTTCGATCTCCCAGGCACCTTGACACAGGCCATTCGTAACTTTGCCAAGAGCTTGGAAGGCTGGTTGACGAACGCCATGAGTGACTTCCCACAACAGGTTATCCAGACTAAGGTAACTCCTGGGAATGGGGTCTGGGCCTTCAGACCACACTGTGACCAGAAGCAGAGGCCACGGGCCTGGGGATCCCTTGGGCCCAGCTGTGCTGTAAAGGGAGGGGGCTCCTCTCCCTCTGCTCTGGGAGAACGTGACTGCTGGGCCCCAGGGAGAGCCGGTCGCTCCTGTGTGTCCCGAGGATCAGTGTTCCCTTCAGGAAGTCCTGAAGATGCTGCTGATGTAGGATAAGTAGCGGCAGGGAGGGGCTTGACGGAAGATGCCATTTGATGTGGCACATTTGGGTCAGCTCACAACTGATTGAATATTTCTATGCTCATGAAAAGACGGAATTTAATCTCCTCGCTGTATCCTTATTACATTAGTCTTGGCCACAAATCAGAATTTAAGTGTGGAGATTTGGCCCACACGGGAAAAAGAGAATAACTTCTTGCAATTGTTCTTGCACACATTTCTTAAAGCGTTGCCATGTACAGAGGAGGCCAGATTTTGGGCATCTGGTCTGCCTGCCTGTAGTCTGGAATTGCTGTTAGGCCGGTGATACTGCAACTTCAGGGAGCAAAAGAACCATCTAGGTAGTCAGTAAAATACAGGTTCCAAGGCCACCCCCACAGAGTCTGCCCCAGCTGGCCCAGGAACCAGCATCTCACCAAGCACTCCAGAGAGCTGATGGAATTGAGTTCTAACCCACTGATGCCACACTGTCTACTATAGGTGCCACGTGATGTGTTGGTGACATCTGTGTCCACTGATTCTTACTCTTCAGGTTCTTGAGACTGTCACAAGGGTGCATCCCTCTTCCCTGCCCCTGACTGTCCCTGAGCCCATGCCCTCCAAGGAGAAGAGAGAATAGG